AGCCGGCTGTATGGGAATGCGGGTGGAGATGGCGGACCTGGGAATGAGCGTAGTCTGAGTAAATATGCGTAGTCACGTTGAAAGTTGAGGGGAATGCCCAAGTTACTCGCACAAGACTGCAATTATCAAGCGTTGTTATACCGGGCCCTTCTCTTTTTTGGATATAGGGTTTTTTGGACAATCTGAGATTATTATTAATATAAATTTGGATAGGTTCAGTCGCAGCTGATATGGCGTGCCTACTACTGAGTTACAAAGCGTAGCGGTCGTAATTTTACTTAGAACAAGGAATGGCCCAATTTTTGTCCTTACATGGTACTTCCAGAAATCCTTAGCAGTGCTAGTTACAATGAAGTCGCCATTCCAGTGGATGTATTTAGGGGAAGTATAAGATCCGAATCTGGTCATTGACAAGATCACGAGCATAGATGTAGACCTACTGTAATAGTTATGAACTTCATCGAGTGCTGAATGCCAAAGGCCAGCGGTTTGTGCCAAGCACTCGTTTTGTGTGGGAGCTAGGACACAAGCTTGATTCCAATCACCCCGCACTCGAAAAAGAAAGCCCGGTATAAGCCGAGCGGTTTATGTGGTGGTGGACAAAAAAGAGGAAAAGAGCTTCAGAAAAGAGTCCGAATTCGGTTTTCCGGCAAGTCCCATAAAGTACCTAGTTTCCCAGTTCCTTTGGTCCCATTTCGGATTCTCGTACTGTCAGGACGTAACCTCCTCGCACAGGCCTGCAACTTCATTTACTTAGCTTTTCACAAGCTTGGAAACATGTGTTCATGTGGACATGTGGAACAATAAAAATAATAATACAATAGTCAACATGTGGAACATCATCCTGGACACGGTTTACCGCTCACATTCTTCCCTCAAACTCAGCGGATGGTAGTTCGTTTCTCACCAAATTTGCATTATTTATTTATCTCCAATTTGCCTATTTTTCTTAAGGAACAAAAACTCAGCCCAATTTGTTTCTGCTTTCTCTTAACTCACACAATACGATTACCTCGCTTTTTGTGGTTTGTCTTGTCAAGTGAATGCTTGAATTTGTCAAGTGAATGCTTGAATTTTTTTAAGCCATAATTAGAGTTGATGTTTTTGTTCGCTGATGTTATATCGCCGCAGAGTGCGATGCAAAGGTTTCACGAGGTCGTGAGAAGGTGAGGGGAAGCGGGGTGAGGTTTGAGTAAGGCAAGCGACACCGTGTCTATAAAGCACAAGTAGAGGTCCGAGCTCCGTCCGAAGACGAACTCCTGCCCACAACTTAATCGTGATCTTCCCTCTTTTTATCTAAGACTATATAAACTGAGGATTTTTTTATTTATTCCATCTAATAATATACACAATGGAGGAGTTTTCAGGTACCAGAGGCTCGTCATTTGCAGGATCACGTAGTGTCATGGACACCTGATGGGTTAAGGCTAATCACATTTCGTGTTAATCTACGTTCGGTTCGAATATTCCGTTATCTAGGCGTTGAGAGTGCTCGTTCGAGTCTTGCTGATAATATTTGTGAGGTAAGGTAACTATCTATTCATAATTACGGTGTTGTGTATCATTTGTATGTGCGTAAGCCTTGTTTCCTTCAATCAATGCTTTTTAATTCAGCGGTTATTCGAATTGGAATCGGAGGTGACTATGATGATGGGAACATCGCGTCTGGAGAGTGCTTCATTACGAACCGACTGTATGTTGTTCACAGATGACGGTAGCTATATGATTGTGGCAACAACAGCCCCGGTGAGACTTTTATAGATAATCTTTTTCATTTTCATTTTTTTGAATTCATCACAATCTTCGATGAGCCTACCTCTTTCTGGACAGCTGAAATCTTAAAAGGTGCCTCGAAAGTGAATGATCCCCTCCCCCCCAAGGTAGTGGAGTTTTAGCCACTTGTTCCGCGCCTTGGAGCACCATCTGAAGGAGAAAAAAATCAAAAACAACGACCAACCCTCTTAAAACCTAGATTAAGCTTGAAATGACTCAAATCTTCATGGATCAGGATTAAGTAGTTCGAGTAGGCAAGCCGCTTCAGGCGTTATGCTTGCAGTTGCTAAATTACGGTTTTTTGAGACGTGACGTTGAGACGTTTGAGATGTCCAACAAAAGTACATTTCAGGCGCCAGATCAACTCTTAACAATACCCATGGCGTATCCGAACACTGAAGCCTTACCAATAACAAATTATAGTCTTGAGATCTACACGTTCTTCACGATTGATATCCAGGTGAAATCTTTTCCTGGTTAGGGAACTGTCTTTCTTTCCTTGCTGTTCTATAACTGCTAGATTTTTTGAATGGCAACGCCAAATAAGCGACTCTATTCTTCTCAGCTCATAAATTACGAATGAATATCCCCTTCCTCCTCAGCTCTTATAATTTTCGCATTCATAATAGGAATGTACATTTCATCAAGGAATGCAAGCGGTTCTTCGCATTTCTCGAAGCTTATTTTGAAGTGAGACGATTCCTTTATCATAAGAAATAGACAAATTGCATTGATATACGTGCAACGCACGTGCGCTATTACCGACTAGACGGAAACAGAAAATAACACTGTCGACAAAGAAAATTGAAAGTCGATTCCGTAGCGATTATGTTTGTTTTAGAAGGGCTCTATAGCACATTTCGTGATGTACAATTTCGACCGTATAAACCTAACGCATGGGGTGGCTCTATGCGGCACAACTATGATGATAATGTCACTGCAAAAACAGGTCAGCTACCTGATTGATTGTTAATTTACTTTTTTGAAGAAACTGATGTGAACATTACAAATATGAAAAATTTTGTTGGTCTGTTCCCTTGCGAACTTTTAGCATTTCATGGAAGTCAAGTTTTATAGATCATTCATATGCTTCATGTGGACGAGTTTGGTGCAATGATACCGCTGAAGGATATTGGCACATCAATTTGGGATGACGACGGGCTATATCTCTTGTAAGTCTGCTTGATTTTGTGAACGTTTGATGAGGAGACCCTTCGGCAGAGGAACGGTTATTTATTTCCCTACTGGTTGCATAGGAGCAGAAGTCCGCGTACTATTTCGATTGAAGAACAGAAGAAAGCCATAGGGTCATGAATTGGAATAAAAATTTACCAAACGACCTACTCTTCCACAGGAAATTTAACCATGGTGAAGTGTTTTTGTGAAATTTGTTCTGGAGTTATGTTTGAAGAAGGTTTCATCAGGTAATCGGCCTACGTGGTGTAATTAAGAGGGGGAGAGAGATTCGTGAAACAATTCTGCCCTCTAAAACCACGAGTTTTGATTTTCCTCAATGGATACAGTGTTTTCCCTGATAATCCTTGTTCATTTAGTATAAACTCTGCGTTTCAGTGGTGATTGTCAAGCGACCCCAACTCGAACAACTCTTTATACTGGTTTGAAACAACGTCTGCTCACTTTCCTTTATAAAGAAGCAAAAAGAGAAGGCAGAGTGGACGAATTCCTACGTCTTACACCTTCCTATGTTGAGAAATTGAGAATGCATCGCGCACAGCTGTTTGATGGTCATTACCTGCTCGTTAGGATGTTGCCTCGTGAGTCTTCCAATCTACCGAATGTTATGATTCTCTTTCAATTTTTTCCCACTATTTCCAAGTTGTATATGTCTCCATCTAATGAGGTATTTGGTAAGATATTAGAGTTGAACGCTATGAATCGTTTAACTGAAGTCTGAAGCAAATCCTTGTAGCGTTGTCAATCTCTTTCTGAGGGTGATAGGCGGTACCAAATTGACTCGTAGATTGCGCTTTAGCATGTGGTTGTATTGCGGTAGGAATAGGGGCTGCTCGGATTACTCAGATTTTAAATCCACTGTGTGATGCGATTTAAAACACCCTAGATTATTGAGCAGAGGAAGGCCTGTGGTAGAGTGTCAAAAACAAAGTTCTCCAACGAACACATCACTTTTTGGCCGATGCAAAATGATGGGATTTCTCTTGATATTCTCAATCCCTTCGAATTATAACTACCCTTCACGTTGTCAAATGCAGCATCCTAAAAGGAGGTTCCTGTGAATGTGAGGAGATCTAGTCCCTAAGAGTCACCTTTGTAATGATTCGCTTCGAAGCTTCAGGAGAGCAATGGAAACTATCAGAGTGCTTGCTATTAATCGATGAATGCAACTCATTTGTGATGGGATTGCCACGTTAAACTTGCCAAATTATATAGTTGTCAGGGCGTTAAGCACACATGGTAGCAGTCGCTGTGAAAAGCATTTGGCTTTCAATTTAAGTGAAGGTTTGGAATGCAATTTAGACACGTCTATACGCTATGATATCGCTCTGATGCCATGTTTTCTGTTTATTTTGGACTGGAGGAATTGCGAAATTCTAACTGTTTATCAAGAGGTCGGGCATATCTTATTTTTCTGAAGTCAGTTGTTTTCTGTTCATTTGGTTTGTTTTAGTACGGTCCTGAGTTGCTGGCATTTTATGAAAACTTCGTCGAGGTTTTGCTGACTCCGACAATGAACCCGCATCGGTACCCGAAATCTTTTCAATACAATCCACATTCGAAACAGAAAGCTCATTGGCTGATGGGCAATAATTCCGGAAGTAAGCCTCAATTTTCATTCCTCTGTTTGTTATACTCACCTTTCCCTCATCCGAAATCACTTCAACAAGAACGTTACTCCACTCAATCCTTTTTAGATGTACAACGCGAATGGCTTTCTTTGTGCTTAAGCATGCCGATAGTAGTGGTTGTGATCACCCATCAAGAGAGCTTTATACTAGTTTGACTAACTCAGAATTCAAGGAGCACAAAAATTCCTGAATGTATGAACAAGAGCTATGAAAACAGTTGATAGGTAACCTTGCTAACCTGTTCAAATTATTAGGAAATCCAGAAGTCCAAACCTTCCCAAACTTGTTGATCCTTCTGTTTTTTATAGCATACTAGTGGTATCGTCGTGTAAAAATCAAGTGGTTTCCGAAGAAATTTTCAGTATCCCCTCCTGTAGGTCATCATCAACTACTGTTTATCCTTTATTGTACCTGCCTTCCTGCTTTCGCTTTGGCTTCTAAAACTCCTCTTTACGTTCACTGTGCACATTACGCTGTTTTTTTAAATGATTTCACGAGAAGAGTAGGCACGATACCAACGTGATTCTTTCGAACCCCGATGATTGTTGAGTTGTATAGTGTTGGGTGAGAGGATGGAAACGCTTTAAATTAGTACTAAAAAATCATTCTGTTACAATAGTTTCCAAATATTGTGTCGTGCAGAGAGATAAATGAAAGCTGGTTCAACTGATGGAAAGATTTCGCAGCACCTATGTGACGTTTTTAAGTATCGATTGTTAAAATACTTTTTTTCAGCTATGTCCGAAGGAATGTATCGAAGAGTTCTGTCGGTCCTACCATTTTGCGGTTGCCATGTAAGTTCCAGAAGTGCAAGGATTGATACATCATTGATTGAGACAGTTTTCAGCACTCCTCTTCGGAAAATCCTTACCTCGATCCGCTTTATTTTTCAATCGATGAGAAAATTCATTCAAATCTGATGTACGGTCGTATGCGTTTCGATCTTGGGCCTGTAAAGTGAGTTATTATATTTGCAGCTTACTGATGAGGTGTGGTAATGTCAAGTTTTCTTGTTTTGTGTACTGATGTGCTTTCGACCCAGAAGTGACAGCTGATGCGTCAGCACCTTTGAAAACTAGGATGGCAGCAGCTGATGGTCAGCCAGCTAATCTTACAACATTGCACCCATCGTGCATCGATTTTGGCCTAATCTTACATTCTCAAGATTATTGCACTCCAATCTGGAAGCCATAAGTAACTTTCTTCTTATGTCACCCTTAAAATGTTGTGGCTCACTCAAAGCGCATTTCATACCATAATCCCATTTGTTTTCGAACTTCTTTTTTTATGTTCTGGTGAAATTTTACCTTGTATGCCTTTAGACCTTCATCGCTATGAAGTGTGGCACATTTTTTGGGAACTGCTTGAAATATCATCCCTGCATCAGGATGTTTTCGGTTTGGATGTATCATTTTTGATGGATTACTTTGCAGGATTTTTGCAAGGCGCACCCAACACCACGTGTGCACGCTAGGTCTACCGCCATCGTTGGCATCGAAGAGTCCATCTTGTGTGATTCTTTTCCATCCACAGGACCCCCTAGCCATTGCCTTTGACCGCATTCGTACCGATCAACCGCTCACTTTCTATCTGCCATCCGCATCGGAAGACTGACAAGTAGTGGTGGGTTTCACCTTGCTGAGCACTTGTTTCTTCTTCGTTCCCCTCATCTATTAATCTTGTTAATTTAGCCTTTAAAAATTTGAGTGATATTCTTCAGCACGATGAGACCTACAACTGCTCTTCGCGAGATGCATGTGGCATTAGTGGGGATGACGGGATCAGGGAAATCTGGTGAGTTCTTTTGACTGTGGATCCGAGTAGGAAGTACATTCAGAAACAAAATTTAGCCAATAACATTCATCAAAGTTTTCAACATATCAAGAAATTTTGAATTTTTCTGAATGTACTTTTTCGTGACCAGTTGTAATTTCTATATTTCTATCCAGAACGCATCGTTTAAATTGTTAGGAATTTACTTTGTCGTGCAAATTTCCTTCTCAGAAGAAACGATGAGAAGATGCGTGTAGCGACCTAACACTCTCTCTTGAAATCGGAAATAAAGTGGCATTTCTGCATTTAGTAGTAATAGCAACGAAGTTCTTGACTGTAAACCGGCTACAACTTTGTTAAGTCCTGCCCCGTTGAATCCTTTTGATAGGTTCCCCGTATCACGATCGTCTCGCAAATATAGTACTAATAATCCTATATTTCAAACATAGGCATTTCTACCCCTTTGTACGGTCGTTATTGGCATCGCAAGGAGATTCACTATGCCTTTCCACCTTTTTCATGTGAATCACTGCCATTGTCACCAACGAGCTTTCACCCTCCAAAGATAATGGGAGTTCCACTTCACTTACTATACATATAGCCAACAAACCTACTTTTGCAGATACCGTTTATGTACATATACAGTAGCGCTCAAAAGTATTCCGCAAAATGCTTCTTCAGGTGTAATTTTCAGTCATAACTCCTTTCCTATTGGATCTAATCAAGCGAAATTTCAATATGTGTAGCGTGGGTGTATTGTGAATATATACCACTATTAACCGCGATCTGATCATGTTCCAGCTATCCAAAAGGGCTTGAACAAAAAATCAACTGGAAGTACGAATGGTGGTCCTTCTAGGAGTCCTTTCCTTTTTGCCATGTCTCAAGTATACGAGCACTAATGTCGAACCCAGAAGAGAAGAAAAACGTACATAAGGTCTGAATAATTGCAGACGTCACAAACTTGTTTTCAACACAGCCTACAAACGCCTCTCCATTAGTATGTGGATATGGCTGTTTTGCAGTCAAGTAGTGTTGGACACTGTAAAATATGCTTCAGCTAAACATATCAAAATTTCATGCCGATTTGCTCCGCTGTGAAAAAAGTTACGGGAAGTTAAAGTTGGCCGAATACCGCTGAGCGTACTGTATATATCATGTAATTGATTCTGCCATTATGTTCGCAAGAAGCGAAGAATGCAAGAAAAGTTCGAAGTGTTTTGTACTTGTTATGTTTTCAGCTATTGCTGTCAAGTACATAACAAAGCGATTCATTGGAGAATATGACTCAGGTTTGGGTGAGTTCGTTTTCGTTTTGAGCTCATTTCGTTGGGCTGTCTTCAGTTCATTTGATAGTTAAGAAGCTTTGGCATCAAGTGCTGTACAACTGGCATTCAGTGACTTATACTAAACTACTAACCCATGAGAATTAGTAGATTGAAATTTTCAGGAGACATTTTGCTCACCCCAATTTTTTTCTATTTTTCAGAATGAGCTCTTTTGAATAAGGTATAATCGAGATATACGAACCGGGCGGAGGTTCTGTAAGGGCAAGTGATGTGACCAGAGGCCTCATACGCGTTCGAAACATTTTTCGATTCGGAGTAAATATCGAAGGCGGGCGCATATCAAAGCGGTATTGATTAACACCAAAAGCTTTGTCCATACTCTTACACATGAATAATTGATGTTGAATATGTATGGCCATCTTGTAAGTCTTTTATACACAATATATGTACTGGTAGTTCATTCACACAAAGTTTTCTGCTATTAAGAACTGATTAGAGTTAAGGGAAAATGTAATACGTAGGCGAAATGGGGCATGAAGCTGGAAATGTATTTTGCCTTGCTTGCTGACTGATCCATTTGTTGACAATAGAGCGATATAGTTCGGCGGTAACTGTAGCTCCTTTTTATGGCGTACGTAATGGTTGTCTCCAAACATCCTCACTATATGCAGAGCATTAAATTCTTGAAGTGGGATTGAAACTTTTGTGTTTGTTTTTTTTTTTTTCATCAGAAACGAGTCATTTTTATTTCCGGTTATGCTATTCTTAAGTACCCTATTTAACTGCGATTACCAAGCTTTTAGGCTGTTCGAAGTACCGCTTTGAATTAGGAAATTCGTCCTGCTGAAACGCCAAACAGCTTAGGTTACGTCGTTTAAGTTCCATAGCTGGTGGGAATACCAATAAAAGGGAGCAAGGCTGTCCTCATCATACGTTTTAGAGAATAAATTTCAAAGTTTGTGAGAAGTTAAGGAGAAAATACAAAATTCGCTTCTCGAAAGTTCACATTCTCATAATAGCAGATGAATATAATTGCTGACTGAGTCTTCTTGGTTTTTCAAAATAAATCCTTAGCTCGTACATTAACCATTGCACGAGGTGCGTACATTTCCAAAGTTTCTGAAGTTACACACTTGAATTTCCTTTTTTTTTCTCAGAGGATACCTACTGTCGCCAGGATACTGTAGCTGGGCAGCCGCTAATGGTGTGGATGATGGACACAGTAGATGATGCATCCCGGGATGAAATGCGATGGTTGGCTTGGGCAGATGTGTATTTGGTAGTGTATGACGTGACAAGCCAGCTCAGCTTGCAGTACGTTGAATTTTACAAATTTATGGTCCATTTTATCGAAATCTATGTCAATCTGCTCTCACAAGGAAGGTCTTTCAGGGCGTGGGACGCTTTTTGAAAATGGTTTTTTGCATGGTATAGGGGCATGAGCACTGAGTATAAAACTATGGTCCATTTCCGCTAAATGACCTTCTGAATGCCAAAAAATGACTGAAAACGATTTTGTCAGAAATCGCCGTTTAAACCCACTCAGCGTAATTTGTTTCATTCATGGTGTCGACTGTCCGTACAGTAGAAGGCGTCAGTTGACTGCGCATTGAAAATAACGTGAAAGGTAGCCAAAAAAGGGGGCCACATGTTGAAAAGTGCGGGCAAGTTTCATATAGGTTCTCCACTGTTAAGCTGCGATAAGCGTCGGATGGTGTGGTGGATAGCGATGTGGCCTTCGAGGAAGGACGACCAGGATGGGTTGATGGTTCGGAAACCTCAGGTTTTGCCGTTTTTGCATTTCATGCTGCCACCTCCAGATTGGCTCCATTTTGACCAGGGCCA